AGGAGCAGGGGAAAGCTCTGGGAAGGCCCAGGCCGCTCGGCTTCCCCTGCCTGCAACGCGCCCCGGGGGTGACACAGCGTCCACACTGCACCCCAGGGTGGCGTGCTGCGCTCCGGGGTGACACGGCATCCGCATCGTGCTCCAGGCATGACACGGCGTCCGCGCTGCGCCCCAGGGCGACACGGTGTCTGTGCTGCGCCCCAGGGCGACATTGCACTGTCGGTGCTGGGAGTTTATGCACCGAGTGCAGACGAGGTGCAGCGCGGGCGCTTCCGCGCGTAGGCCGCGTCCGTGGCATCGCCTTTTGGCGCGTGGTCTGCTCGCTGTAGCTGGCGGCGCCGCGGAGCACGTTCACCAGGAAGACCTTTGCCCCCTCTCCACGGGTCTCTTTGTAGACGAGGCCGGAGCCGGGCGGTGGAAGGCCAGCTTGGTGTTGCCCTGGATGTTGGCGTAAAGACCTTTGCGGCGGTGCTTGGTGCCTGCTTGCCCCAGCCCCTCGCCCCCTTTGCGGCAGCCAGGCCTGGTCGAACACGCGCAGGTGCCGGGCAACGCGGACCCAGTACATAGCAGTTCTCATATTCTTGTCCATTAGGAAAAAGTATGTGTTTGGTTTGCCCAAAGTGTGTGCGCGCACGTGCGCCTGTGTGCGAGAGAGACGAGGGCACGGCAGCTTTTCCTTTGCCCATCTAGGTTGACGGGAAGGATTTTGCCGAAACGCAGGCATCCCCCTTGTTGGGCTCTCTCTGGCACTAGCAAAAATAGTTCAAGACTGAACTCCCCCGTAGATATGGAAACAGAAATTCACTGAGCTTGTGAAGTCAAGACACATCAATCACAAATGGTGGCTTTGGCACCAAAATGCGGTTTCCACCGAAAAAGGAGGGTGAAAATGCAGCGACCTGCCGTAGAGCAGCAGCGGTCGAGACTCCAGAACGTGGCTACCGAAAGTGCGGCTCCACCAAAAACAGTTGCTTCGTTTTGAAGTCTACAGATTATGAGACAGAAATAGGCCGAGTTTCTGGCTACCTACAAGAATTACGTTCCTACCTGTGGGTAGGCTACTGTGATAAGGTGGCTGACAGCCCCCACACTGAATAATAATCTAAGAGATTAATTAGTAGCAAGCTTGACTTGATGAGAACATAAAAGGTGCACATGTGGTAATATCCACAGGATTCCCTGCAGAACCATATGGCAAATTGCAGTCATGTGGTAATTTGTATTTATCATGTGTCTTTGACCTGTATGTTGCCCATTAATCCTTCTCCCTGGTGGACCCCTTCTATCACTCCAGATCTCTGAGCTGCTTCAGGAGGCTGCCATCTTTGCTTTTAATGATCTGTTTGAGAAATTATTCTCTTTTTTCAGTCAGTAGGTTAAATCCCCTCCCTCCTTTCCCTGGGCTGAGGCAGAGACAGAAACCTTGCAACCTTTCTGGGCTGGAAAGAGAAGCCTTATACCCAGGTTCCAGCCGGTACGGACTCTGGCACTGAACCTTGGCATTTATAGGGACCTGATGGTGAATTGGTGTCCTTTTTCCTCTCCTCTGCCAGGCCCTTTTGTAGTGTATAGGAAGCCTGATTTCTTTCCCTGCCCCCTGCACCTCCTTCCAAAACATTTCTCTCTCAATTTACAACATGTAGCATACTGGGAATAAGTGCAAGTCTACTTATACCTGCTGCTGCTGGCTGACCTCTCCCGGGTGTCACATAAGAGTGTGATCTCTCTTGCCTTCATTGAGAAGGAGGGCTTTTTGCCACAGAAAGGATTTTTATGGCAGAAAGCTGCCCTGTCTTCAAAGTGCTCATTAGGCATTGAAAACAAAAGAGAAGGGCTCACACTGTCTGACAAAAATCCTTTCCCTCCCAGTAGCTCCCATTTTGGTCTCTTGAGATGCCCTTGTTTTACTAATTAAGAGCATGCTCTTGATGAATAATGATGATTATTAGGAGGAGAGTTTTCCAGTCACCCTAGTCCTTGCCACAACTGAGACCTGAATTTCCAATGGAAAAAGCAGCAGAGAAATGAACACTGAAAAGCATGCCTCTCTCTCCCATCTTCAGACCTTCTTGGTATATTATAAAGAATGAGGCATGAGTCCATTTTTCTTTCTGCTCCTTCCCAGGTCACCTTAAAGCTGTGACAGCATTATGAATGGAAAAGGTCGTTTTTACAACACCGTGGTAGCTGTAACAGCTTCTCCTTCAGTGAGCTCAGGGATTTTCAGGCAAAGGCAAGTGAAAGTAGAACCAGTGAAATGCGCTGACCCTGTCTCAGTTGCGGTATATGCAGGTGTGCCGAGATGGGGGCAGGAAGGTATCGTGAGCATTGTGTCTCTCTCGTGGACCCACCTCCTCCATACGCAGGTCCCACGATTTTATCACAGCAGTTTGCTTTTCCCACGTAAGCAAACAATCAACGTCAGGGTAATGCGGAGGGCACATTTGAAAACAGTCTCTCTGCTCTGATGGCTGTGAATGCTGGGACATGCCTGTGCCAGGCCATTTTGCCTGTGCATTTCGAGGTAAATCAGGAGTTGTTCCATTAAATTAATGTTAGGCATGTGCTGAAATGCTGTTGCTGACATGGAGCTCGAAGTGAGATGTTTTGCAGGAAAAGCATCAAGTCATGGAGGCTGTTTGGAAAAGCAACATGGAGCCACTTTTGAGGGGAGAGAGCAATCCTCCCCATCCTGGATGTAGCAGGTTTTTGTGCCTCAAATGTCTCTAATTCTGCCATTTGTTCTCTTCTCACCTCAAGTGGCTGCGAGGGATTCAGCCAGTGTCTAACATTAACAAGAATCAAAGCATCCTCTTAGGTAGTTTGAAGGTGCCTGTATCGTATTGCTGTTGAGTTTGCCCCAGTGACTGAGAGGCTGCAGCGGAAGCTCTGAGCGTGCCGGGAAACAGATCCCTCTGTAGCAGTCGGGGAGGACTAAAAGGCTACCGAATCTGATTACTGCTGCTGAGGGAGCAAAAGGCAAATTGCACAGCTCAGTGCCAGATATGCAGAGCTGCTTACGCTGCTGAGCCAGATGCTTGGGAGGGAAGAGATTATCCACAGCCCAGCCAAGAAATCCCTTTTCCTTCTCTGTCCTCTCCGGTTTTTCTGTGGATTGCCCTCCCCACTCCCACATACTATGGCAATGCTGTTCACTGCCGACAGGTCAGAATTTAGGAACTCTTAAGTACTCATTTGGGAGCAGCTTCTCTGAATATATAAAAATTGCAGGATCCATTAACCTCCTACCAACGTGATCCACATTGGTTAATTGGTTCCTGTTTTGTGACAAAAGAGCAGCAATGCATTCCATCCTCGCATAGGATCCTACCGAGGAGAGAGCGTTTGTGAACAGGAGCTCCTCCCCACATAAAGGTATAATTACTGTTTTATTCACAAGAAAGGGCTATTCAGCAGTTATGACACAGCCTCCTGGTTATTTATCCAAGGTCAGTTGCCATCCAAATGTAAACCTGGTAAGTCCAAATGTTACAATTCAGTTCTGTACGCTTGATTTGTTCTATTAGCTTGACTTCACTTCCTGTGCCTGTCTGCAGAGAGATCTGTCCTTGCTCAAAAAGATCTTGGAAGTCCCAAGCCTACCTACTGCCTATCCCCCTTCCCTCCTCTTTTAGATTTGCTTCACTTAGTTGTTGGAGCAGAGGTAAGTATTGCACTCTCCTTTCAAATGCATCAGTGATGATGCCTGTACTACAATGTATTGCATCAGCTGTAAAATAATTAATATGCACGTCTGCGCATACAATCATGCAGGAATGTACCTACACCTCCTCTGCTTTTCCCTAAGGCTTCTCTGCTCTGGCTTCTAACTCCACAGCAGTCTATTATCAATCCCACTTTTTTGCCTTACTCAACAAAGTATAGCTGTTTGTATTTAGTTCCAAAAACCTGCCTTTCCGGGAAAGATCCTTGCCTCTGTTACAGCACTTTTAAACCGGAAGTGAATTGATTGTGGTCTACGTGTGATGAACATGGGGAAGAAGCTTCTGACAACAGACAGTTCCATAATCTAGCAGGAAAAATTGTAAGATGCAATGATTGGAAGCTGAAACTAGACAAATTCAGACTAGAAATTAGGTGCAAAATTTTAATGGGGGTAATTAACTACTGGAACAACTTAACTAGAGATGTGGTATAGTTTCTTATTATCAGAGGCTTTAAGTTGTGACTGGACACGATTTTTTTAAATGATAGGCTACAGCTTAAACAGAAGTTACAAATGAGGCAAAAATGATTGGGTGAAATTCCTTGGCCTACATAATTCAGGAGATTTTTTTCTGGCCTTCAGATCTCTAAATTTGTCCAACCAAATTTCTGATAACACACTCAGCTGGTCAGAAATTGTACATTAAAGGAAAAAAGAACCTAAAAAACAAGCCCCCCTTCCCCACCCCCAAAAGACCCCATACTGGTCCCCAAATGGTCAGCCTCTCAAATAACCTTTATTTTCTTCTTGTGGGGGTTTCTTCTTTTCCAGATCCATCACCAGAGCCTACTACAGGAACTCAGTAGGTGGCCTCCTCTTATTTGACATTACAAACCGCAGGTCCTTCCAGAACGTCCATGAGTGGCTAGAAGAGACAAAGGTGCATGTCCAGCCCTACCAGATTGTCTTTGTCCTGGTAGGTCACAAATGTGATCTTGACACACAGCGGCAAGTTACCAGGCATGAGGCCGAGAAACTGGCTGCTGCATATGGTATGAGATACATTGAGACCTCAGCTCGGGATGCCATTAATGTGGAGAAGGCCTTCACCGACCTGACTCGAGATATTTATGAGCTTGTTAAAAAGGGGGAGATTTCAATCCAGGAGGGCTGGGAAGGGGTAAAGAGTGGGTTTGTACCAAATGTAGTGCACTCCTCGGAAGAGGTGGTGAAATCAGATAGGAGGTGCTTGTGCTAATCGCGTCTAGTGAGAAAAGCTATGATGAACTCTACTAACCAAACATACTCTACTAAGTGAACTCCGTGTGACAGAAGGGGTGTAATGCTAGCGTGGTGAACATGTTGTTTTGGACACCAGAGAAACAGAACCAGAAAAACAATGTTCCGTTCCAAATAACCTTCCAGAATCGGGGGGGGCTACAAACTTACATGAGAATGAACAAGGATGCATGTTTACACTGTAGGAGACGGGAGGCATAAGAGCAAGCTGGTCTGAACCAGGTGGTACGCACCAGGGAATTTTACATGTCCTGTTTTAAGTAAATCTATAGTTATACACTGCGTGCTGAAGCCACAGTATGAATAGTCTATTAGTATGAGACATGCGTGTAGAAAAAGAGAGTGAGAACGTTGGTGTATGTCAACAGTTATTTCCAGAAAGACGAGAATGCAGCATGGTTACCCCTCATGAACAATGCTTCAGTGGTTAGCTCAAAAGGAAACTGTTTTTCAGATGTGGCATGCACATTTCTGGTGTTTAATGTTCTTGCACCTAAAAACCTGTAGTAAAAACTGACTGGTATTGAAAGAGGAAACTAAGGGTTGTTTTATTGGTAACTAAAACTTAATCACCACCTGTCCCTATGGGGTTATTAGTCTTACCACACCTGGCCAAGACTCTTGACACTAAAATCCAGCATAATGGTTCCAGTTAGGATTGAGGTATGAATTAAAATATTAAATATAATCCAGTTAGATGATTATAGTGGAGATACCTCTGATTCAGCGATTTCCAGTGTAACTAACAGATTAGGAACATAAAGCTTCTCAAGTGTGTCCTGCCATCCTGTATTTCACAGACAGGTCATCACCACCAGGAACCAGCTGTCAGATGGGGAGACACTGCTGTTTCTGTCTGCAGTGCCGGGGTGTGAAAATCCCTCCTACTGCTAAGCCCCTTTAAGCTCCACTTAATAGGAAAATGGAACGAACACATGAACATTCCAGAGCATAAATTAAACGCATCAAACACCCAGAAAGGTGAGTTTTTCTTTAAAGAATAGTGCTAAAACAGAGCAGCCACTGGCAACCTATTCTGGTCCCTAAGTGTCATTTTCCTTATTGGAAGGACCTGGAGGGAGGAGCATAAGAATAAACACCTGAGTTGGTAGAATGGCCAGAGAAGAGGGAAGGCCAAGAGGGAATATTTTCTCCTCTGTTTGAATCCAGTCATATCCATCTCAGGTAGAATCTGATGATTAGGTAGCTGCATTACAAAGGCTCTAACTAGGCATTTATTTTCTGGGAACAGCATCCATCATTTGAACTTTACTTCCTCTAAGTATCAAAGTAAGCTTTTGAAATGCAGCATGATAACCATGCACCCGAATTGTACCTAGGGGGATCAGTTTATTAGCAGAATTTGTAGTGAGATTTATTCAAGTTTGCAAACTTTACAAGCCAAACTGTTAAAGGCCTGGAGGGTTAGGTAAACCATATAGGCGTGTCGAGTGTTTGAATGCAGGCCTCTTAGTAGACAAGTACTTCTAATTGCTTTTCTAAGGTAACATGTTCCATAAGAGTATGCTTTTTTGGTTGTTAACAAGTTGAACCAATCTCTCTTCAGATCTGTTTCTGTATTTTGTACCATTTGGCCAGGACTGGATCATAAAAATAATCACAGCCTAGGTATAAAAGCTGTACATGAAGAAAAGTAATATTTTACTTTTATACTTTCTGGTACCAGTTCTAGTTCATTGCTTTTGTTGCCAATAAATTACCATCTGCTGAGCCAGAGAAAGGGATAGTAAAAAAAAAAATGGGTATCAACAGGAGAATTAAAGCTGCAGCTTTTAACTTTGAAGTCCAATGGTCAACCTCGCTTAGGTCATAAATGTGCTGAATTTGCTGACCTCATGCTATGGGTCCATCAGACTCCTTCCATTGATTTGAATGGATGTTGCACTGGGCCCACAGTCTGCAGAGGGCATTATGAAATCCTCTTCTGGAATGGCATACATTTGGCAGGATTGGGAATCAGGAGAGAGCTAGAATAGTATGAGCCATGTGTCCTCAACTTACACTGACACCAATTGGAGCTGAGGGCTATTGGCAAAGTTGTGCAGAGACCTGCTTGGCACTTCTCCAGACTCTGAACAGAGCCACCAGTTTCTAACTTGGATAGACACAAAGGTCAGGTTGACATACTTCCATTCATCAAATAAAAAAATATGCCAAACCACTGTTTTGACCATTCCAAGTCTGGGCCAGTTCTACAGTTGTGTCCGATATTCTTGTTGAGGAGAATGAGTCTTAAATAATATTTTTTGGACACAGAAGGAAGTAAAACTAGTAGGGTTCAGGTATCACCAGGTTCTTCTAAGCCAGCACAGCAGAGACCTGGCTGATGGGGAAAGCGATGGGGTTTTTCATTGCATTTGCTCTTTTTTACTATAATGAAAAACTGCAGTTCATTTAGTGGGCCTAGGGTTTTTTTTGTTTGTTTATTTGTTTTTCTAAGGCAAAAAATCATAAGGAATTTTATTCAGACCTTAAGAGTAAATGTTGAATTTATCGGAGAAGTATTGTAGTTCTAAAAAAGGTGCAGTATGAAAACATTCTACGCCATCTTAACTTACTTAAAAGGATTAAAACAAAAGAAAAATGGTTATATTAAATAAGAGATCATTATATACATCTTTTTTCTAATTCTACATTTTCTAGGCAGCTTATAAAAACATAAGCAATGTAGAGTCATCTGTACAAAGTTTGGAGTTTCTTTTCTAAGATGAAAAAAACTTATAGGCTATGATAAGCATTCTTTTCTAACAACTGGTTTTAATGCTTTGACTATGGCAAGAGGTATTGGAGAAACTGGAAAGCAAAACTTTCAAAGGATAAAGTTTCAGGACCTCTTTTACTCTAGGGGAAGTCAGTCGAACAAAAACAAACTTTCTGTGGCCCAGATCACAGGTTAAAAACAATCTGCATGTTAGATTGGAATTGCTCAGAACCTCCAGAATAAAAGTATACTGTACACTTTTCCTAGCTTTCTGTTATGCACTGTAATGAAATGTGAAAAAATGCTGTATTTAGCTGTATGTGAATGAAAACATGCTTGTATTTAGCAAAATGGTTAATATGTGATTATGTGAAATTCAAAACTTGTAAAGAAACTCTTTGTGGTTTTTCCTTCCCCCATTCTTCATCAGTAAGCCATCTAGTAACTGTATTCTTACAGCTACCATGACTGAAAACCCAATACAAGGTAGATCAATAATAAACAACACGCAATCTATTTACAACAGAATATACTATGCATTTTCTCTAATGGTGCATGTTTGGAAGATGTCCTTTTAAAGATGCTAGCAGCCTTTGTGAAATCAATTGGCTTCTGGAGAAACTCCCGTGCTGCCCTAGAGATACTATACAAAAAAACCCCAACAACGACTCTTTGGTAAGGTAATTGCAGTGTTCAGAGAAGCATTGTTATAGCAGGTATCCAGAATAACCAAGTATCATGGTACAGATCCTCAGTTGCTGTAAGTTGTTTTAGGTTTCCCACATTCAGTTGCAGTGGAGTTAGTGGTTTATAGCAGCTGAGGAACTATCCCACCATGAAACAATGGAGATTTAAAAGGTGGTGGCAAAGGATCCTGATCAGAGGAAGGCTGAGTGGCCAGAAACAGAGCTCGCGCTCTCTTTTTTTTTCCCTTCAGATAATCTCTTGTTGAATGGTGAAATGCTGAAAGGTTTTTTAAAACAAACTAAGGAAGAGTTACCCCCTTTGCAGGTCTTAACCATAGCATAGCAACCAAATGGTCAGCATACATTTAATGAGGGACAGTTTATAAGCGAGAGCCCAGTCTCTTTTCAGCAAAGCTTTACTGTTTTAGTGTATGTGCCTGGGTGTTACGCTAAGCACATTAGTGCCAAGGATAAAGCGTTGAGCAGTGCTAAGGGGATAGCATTCACTGTGCTTTCCGCTCCCTACTCCAGAGCACTAGCTGATTGTTAATGTCATGCTGCAATATATTTGCTGCCTTGTAAATGCTTAACTTGACATTTTATTGTGTGTACTGAAGAAATGCAGTCATTGCCCTGGAAGCGTCCACCAGGAGAGCTGTTTTACAGTAGGTTTGAGCTGTTTTACAACAGATTCCAGTGTGAGGAACTTGCTTATGGAAGGAGGAAGTGGATTCAGAGGAAAGGAGACCCTAGGAAAGCAGCAGTTGCTCCTCATTGCAAATGGTCTCATGTGGCTCCTTCATACTCTCCTGTCTGCTCTTAGGGCAGTACCATCTGTAGTCAGGCCATCTGCTGCATATACATGGCTGCTTTCTCAAGTAAAATCACTATACACAATCTACTGTGATACAGCATTTAATGCAGCCACAGAAGCAAGCAGCGTGGCCCTGCAGAGGTATAGAAGAGTGAGCCACGGCAGAGCAGAGAGGCAGCAAAGGTGGGGTGGGGGGCAAGAACCTTCAGCAGCATGCAGACAGTCAAAATCCTTGCTATGACACACCAGCTTGGTACAGGTTTCTCCATACAGAAGAATCCCATCACTCCACTTACAAGTAGAACAATGGCCTCACATTTAGTAAAAATACTGCAAACTTATTTTGTGGGTATGACAATCCTTTACAGAAAAATGCATAAAGCTTCACCCCATAATTCCCCATGCTGAATCTATTAGCTTGACAATTATTTTTCCTATTGCCTGCTGACAGCAGCATTGATCCAAACTCTCACTACTGCTACCAGCCCAAGGCTTCCCTGCTTATTGAAATAAACAGCCTGTTGTCACAGCATCCAAATCCATGGCTGCACCCAAGATGCTTTGATGTACGCTGGGATTATATTGAACCTGAGAGAGAGATGGGCTTTGACATCCACCCACTTCCAGTGGTCTCCCATCAGTAAGATCTGCTGTTGCTGCTCAATTCTACACTACGCTCAGATCTTGCAGATCCACTGGCTTTCCACCTGACAAAGCCTGAGCTACAGCTTCCCGGTCACAAACCCAACCTGCAGGATTGGCTGACACCTACCTCCCCTCTCCATCAAGCTGCTGCCAAACTTGTGCTTGTGCCCCTAACTTAGATGTTCCCCACCACCCACCCCATCCTGTCTCAGCAGCTTTCCACCAAATCCAGCTGTCATCTCAGTGGAAATCAACCCTGTTGCTTCAACTGGGTTTCTCAAACTTCTCCAAGGGCATTTATACATATACATTTGTCTGCTCTGCCATGCCGGAGATCCAGCATATCAGAGCAGACTTGATTAATCTAATCTGTGAAGTATGCAAGCTGACGAGCCCAGCACTGCATCACATGCATTTGTATCAACGGCAAAATGTGCTGAGAAAACAGCAGCAGTGTGCTCTCCAACTAAAACAACTTTGATGCGTTTTAGTTCAGAAGCATGCTGCTGCCAGCATTTTTTCAGTGCCAACGTGCATTTTGCCATTCATACAGATGTATATGATGCAGTGCCAAGGGCTTTTAAAAGTGCCTGGTGCTGCAGTGCAAGCATGTGTACAAATGCCCCAAGAGTTTAAGGGAGTCCAACTAGATTGTGCACAAGGTTTGGGACCCAACCATGAAAATATACATAGAAAGAGGTGCCTGCCACAATTGTTTAGTTTCACTGTTTTAATATCATGAAATAAAAGTACAAAAAACTTTACAGGTATATTGTTTATTACATGAAGATATAACAGTTAACATTTGCATTTATTTTGTGGTGAAACCTGTATCATCAGTAACTCCATGTCAAATACTATCCACTAATTTGACCACCACATGTGCATTTTGTTGTAGGATGAAATTGCAGAGGTAAAGGCAACAAATCCTGTGAGGTTTCATTATAACTGAAAAAAATATTCTGCACATTCGCAACAGAAGGTGTGCTCTAGTAGACCATCTATATTTAAATACAGGTTTCACCTTTTGGGAGGCTTTCCAACAGTGTTAAGACATTGGTACTAGACAGCATTTGTCTAAGGGATTGTAAATGGGTTTGTTTCTTGTAGTACAGGCTATTAGCATTCTGGTGTCCAACTGTCTATAGGTTTGCAAAGATAAACAATGCGTGCATGTGTGAAAGGGGCACGGGTGAGGCCACGTGCAGTCTTGACATAGCTTGTGCTGTTTACTGAATGTATTAAGATCACTGTTCTTTTCTGAAGGCAGACCATGAATCGTCTCGTGTAAAGTGCAGGAAGTCCATCAATTGGCAGTTGTTAACCAGTAATAAGTAAAATCAAGTTCATCCACAGTGGATATCTGGGAATGATTGTTGATTGATGCTGCTGAAGAAATAATCAACTAAGAAACACAACTGGGGGTGAATGCAGCAAAATCCTATTTGCCAAAGTGACAGCTGCATGTCTTTCCCCACACAAAGCTGATTTTTAACCTCAGCAAGTATGTATAACACATCAGCAAAGATGGAAAAAAGCAAACCCGTACATTACAAATTACCTGCTCAAATGCCCTGGAGTCAGTTCCATATGTGCACCTTACATTTTTAGACAAACTTTCAGGTAAGAAATTACTTATGGCAAACAGACTGATCTGGTCAAAAATGCTACATTCCTTGTTGGACTGTGTGGCATCTCTGCAAATAATTAATCATTTCCTGAAGCATGCATGAAACCAAATTTTGAGTTTACAAATAAATAAAATGGTGCTTGCCATTATTTTTCATTTTTTATATATTTTATCATCATTTACTGAAGTGATTAAACTCCGTCCCTTAAGGATGAACTTTGGGGGCATTTAAAACAACAATAATAATAATAATTAAAAAAAAAGTATTTGGAAACAGACCACATTTAAAATTGGCCACACTATGCTTTGTTTTTTGAAGGATCATCCTTGTTTCTTCTCTTTACATCCCAATTATAAACTCTAGCCATATCTGAGGGTATAGTTAAGGAACTAGGGAGTTTTTGGGTTTTTTTGCAAACACACACACATGCACCCACTCACTCTATAATTATGTCCTAGCAAATGAATCTCTCGTTACACTGATTCATGAATGACACTATAGAAGCTGATTAACAAAACAGCTGACTGGTAGTACAGAACCTTGATGCTGTAGAAATTCTGACGGTTGACACATGCAGATGCCCATACTCATTACTGACCCTCTGTTCTTCACAAAACCGTCTATTCAGTATCAAAAAATAGGGATGCCCATGTCCTTTCTGCATGTACCTTTGTCTTATCATATTTACTCCCACTGTAGTTTCCAAAAGTGCGGTTTCAGTCACAACTAATCCCCTAGCTGTTATACACATTTCACATAGGAGGTAGTCGTGTTAGTCTGAAGTCAGGCTGACATCTGGGCAGGGTGGCATCTTAAAAGACTAGCTTGCACAAAGACTACATGACTAGTTCATAAACATTAGGAAGATTAGTTCAGGCAGTCATGATGCCCCACTCCCATCAGTAATAGCTCCCCAGTGATACCAAGCACTATTTAATTAATCAGCCAGCCACATTAAGGAGTGTACTCCTCAGAAAGGACAGATATGAAGATGAAGAAACAATGCAAAATGAGTGTCTCACTGTGAAAAGCCTGGAGATGTTCATTTGGGACTGCAACACTACTCTGAACACCAGCAGCAGAATTGGACACTGCTGGTGGATAATCCAAAATAGTACTTGGTCATACTCCAGCATGCCAGTAAATCCAAATGGCCAACAATTCTAAGCTCTTACCTGTGGGGATGCCCACACTGAGCATTCTGAGGTTACCTAGCACAAATGCTGTACTGCTCTGGGTAGGCTGCCTCCTGAACTGAAGGCAGAACAGTTTCAATCGTGGTGTGAGCGAGCCAGCCAGCACTGGCACTTAGTAGCAACAACCAGCCCACCTACAGCACTGCATAAGGAGTTACGCTGTTCCAGATACAGAAGGTAGTGCACATGGGAAGCAGCAACCATGTTTGCAGCACCACTGCCTGCCCCAGTAAGGTTGTAATCTGGATATGGATACTGCCTGTTTTTGAATTGCACATTTAGTACATGAGCAGCCATCACATTATATTGGCAGCTTGTTCACAGGCAAATTATACATTAAGTGACCCCTTCCTCACACCAAACTTGAGACACACGATCCATTTTCGCTGCTTGGGAAAGTGTTTCTACCCCTTTAGAAACTGAAAGCAAATAAAACAGCACTAAATATACTTCCTTTTTTAAAAAGGTGGGAAAAAAATTGTGCAGCAGTCTTAAAAGGTTTTTCCCCTCAGAAAGGATACTGACTTCCGTAGTGGTGAACTGATCTCTAAGAAAATCCAAATCTTCCTCTAGTGAATCAAGATTTCTTGTAGCTGTGGAAAGATTCTTTTCTAATAGAGCCTGGGCTTCATCAATATCATATTCAAGCATCACATTGGCCTGAAAAAGAAGGAGGCATTTAAATTCTGATAACACTTTTACTCCAAGGAGAACTTTATGAATGTATCAGACTGTTTGTAATATATGTAGACAGAAACCAACATGCCTACATCCAGGCTACAGACAGAAACAAGGATGAAGGGATCTACTTGAAGCCTCCATCACCTTCATGAGTGTTATTCAGCCGTGTGTCTGTTGACAGTATTTTTGTCCTAACCAGACACTTCTGTTCAGGCAGACACACATACACAGAGAGTTCAGGGACTTAACTCAGAAGTCTCAAAATAAGTATCTTTGCAGATAAGGGGGTGTCTGAATATAGACTATGCTGGCTTGGTACTACTTCAATATTTAAGGGTCATCTTGTTTTCAAGCTCTGACCCAACCACTGACTGGGACTTTGTATCTAAACACTGGTAAAAGCAGGGAAATTTGGGTTTTAGAACATGCAAGTGCTTCATGAATGTGATTGGAAGCAGTCAGAGATGGCCAACCAATACAGAAAACACTAGCAGGCCCAAATATTAAAATAAATTGTATTACTGTGCCCTCAAGTCAGATGTTCTGGTATCCAGAACCACAGTCCAATAATTCAAATACCTTTAATCAATTACTTATCAATTAATTACGATCTACTAGGGATCACGGAGACCACTCCTCACATGACTGGAATGTAGCTATAGAGGGCTACAACCTCCACAGAAGGGACTGAGTAGGGAAGAAAGGTGGAGGTGTAACTCTCTATGTGAGGGAGCAGTACACCTCCTCGGAGGCTGACATCAGCTCCAAAGAAGAGTGGCTCAAAACCCTCTGGGTCAAACTACAGGCAGGGTGTGGCGAGGGAGACCTAACTGTAGGTATATACTACAGACCACCAAGCCAGGGGGAGAAGCTTGGTCTGGAGTTTGAGAACCGGCAGAGGCCATGCACTCACGGGACATGGTCGTCACAGGTGACTTTAATTACCCAGACATTGCTTGGGAGGAACACTCGGCCAAGTTGGATCGGTCACATTGCTTCCTGACCTGCATCGAAGAGCTCTGACTCTGGAAGCGCAAGGGCCAACCAGAGGTAATGCTCTCCCAGACTTGGCCTTCGCCAAAAGAGACAATCTGGTGAGTGGCTTGAATCTAGAGTGTAGCCTGGGTGTTGACCACAAAATCATCATGTTCACTGTCCGTCACAAGGCAGGCAAATGAACTAGCAGGGTTGAAGTTTTGGACTTCAAAAAAGCAAATTTCAACAGCTCAAGGCATTAGTAGAGGAAGCACTGCAGGACCTGGGACCGAAGGTGAACGGAGTACATGAAGAGTGGTTGTTGCTCGAGGACACGATCCTCGAAGCACAAAAGAAGACCATTCCCTTGCAGATGAAAGGTAGCAGAAGGACTGGGAAACCCTCTTGGCTTTATAGAGATATCATGGTCTTCTTGAACAAGAAGAAAGAAGCATACAGACAATGGAAGCTTGGAACAGTCCTCAAGGAGGATTATACAACAACAGCCTGCACTTGTAGGACAAGATCAGAAAAGCTAAGGTGGCAACTGAATTTAAGTTAGGAATGGGAATCAAGGACAGGGTGTTGGACTCGATCTGCTAAGGTCCCTTCCGACCCAAACAACTATGAATTTATGACAATAAGAAGTCCTTCTTTAGGTATGTTGGGAACAAAAGGAAAACAAACGGACGTGTGGGGCACTCAAGTGTGGGACACTCAAGAAAAAGTTGAACTCCTGGATGACTATTTTGCTTTGGTATTTCACTGGACCAAGGGGAAAATCATGCAAGATAAGGTTCAGAGGGGCCATGGTAGGACTGACCGCCTTCCTATTGTTGACACTGAGCTGGTGCGCGATCAGTTAGACATTTATAAGTCAGCAGGATCAGATGCACTTCACCAGAGTGCTGAAGGAGTTGGCTGAGGTCATCACATGGCCTCTGGTGAAACTCTTACAAAACTCGCGGTGCTCAGGGGAGGTCCCTGATGACTGGAAGAGGGCCAATGTTGTGCCCATCTTCAAGAAAGGGAGGAGAGAGGACCCAGGCCACTTTAGACCAATTAGCCTAACTTCAATCCCAGGGAAAATCCTGGAAAAATCCTGGAAAAAGGAGTCTGTGTGTGATACGTTTGCAGAAGGTAGGATTCTGAACAACAGCCAGCATGGCTTTGTTGCGGGCAGGTCTTGTCTTACCAATGTCATCTTCTACAGCCAGGTATTTCACCACCTGAATGAGAGACCGAAGGTTGGAATTATATACCTAGACTTCCAAAAGGCTTTTGGTCTGGTATCCCATGATGTTCTCTTAGGAAAATTGGAGGATTGTGGGCTTAACTGTTCGATGGTTAGGTGGGTAGGAAACTGGCTGCGGGGTAGGATCCAGAGAGACCTGGACAGGCTGAAGAGTTGGGCGGATCAGAACCAGATGAAGTTCAACAATGAGAAGTGTAAAGTGCTCCATCTAGGGACAAACAATCCCCAACCTAACTTACAGGCTTGGTGGTGCCAATGTGACTAGCACCACAACTGAACAGGACCTAGAGGTAATAACAGACCATAGCATGAACATGAGCCATCAGTACGATGCTGTAGCCAGCAGGGTAAACAATACTCGGGCATGCATCAACCAATGCATCTCATGCAAAACCAAAGAAGTTATTCTTCCACTTTACTCAGTATTGGTGAGACTACAGCCGGAGTACTGCATCCTGTTCTAGGCACTGCACTTCCACAAGGACATGGAAAAGTTTGAGTGTCCAGAGAAGAGCCACCAGAGACTTGCAAGGCAGACCATACGAGAAGAAGCTGAGGGACTTGGGCCTCTTCAGCCTAAAAAAGAAAAGGCTGAGAGGGGACGTGGTAGCAGCTTACCACTACATCAGGGGAGTACATCAAGGGCTTGGCAAACAACTGTTCAACAGGGCACTGTTGGGGAAAACCAGGAGTAATGGCCACAAGCTCCTGGAAGACCGCTTCAGGCTCAACTCTAGGAAAAATTTCTTCACAGTTAGGGTGTCCCGACTGTGGAATAAGCTGCCTCCAGAGGTGGTGCAATCACCTACCCTGGAACTCTTCAAGAGAAGACTGGATGGCCACCTCGCTGGGCTCACCTGACCCCAGTTGTTTTTCCTACCTAGTGCAAGGGGGCTGGACCTGATGATGTTGTGAGGTCCCTTCCAGTCCCTTACAATCTGTGAATCTGATCATAAGGCATCAAGAAAACTTATAGGTCTTCAGATGATACGAATAAATTAAGTATAAGCACTGAAAATAGGACAACATCCTTAGCGGTGTTTAAACTGCTCTGCTCCGTTTACTTCACTGCCAAACCAGAGTTTTTATTGCAAAATGCAGACCATCAATGTAAACTGCAGACTGCTTACGTTCTATTCTGCTGCATGCATAATCAACACAATTGCCGGTTAAATATTCCAGACTCAGAATATACTCTGCGTGGGTTCTGTTCCCTCCTGGAGCAGACCTGGTGGCAGCACAGCCCGCTGGCCATGCAGTAATGTTGGCATTGCTGACTGGCCAGGAAGGGACCATGCAGCAGCATCAGTGCTGCTGCTCCATGCCTAAGAGGGAATCCAGCCTGAATCTGAGCAGAACTGTGCCTGGCAGGGCAGGAGGCTGCTGTGGGTCTGACTCTGGTCCTTACTTGGGCTCAGAGTCAGAGCCACAGTAGCCACCTGCCTCCCATTCCACACTGTACACAAATCTAAGACAAGGGGCTTCCCTCCCCATGCTGACTGGGAGAAGCGGCGGGGGGGTGTTACTGTTAGATTTGGGTAAATACGAATCTATAGGCAAGTCCCTGGGTAACTTCCAATTTATGCTGGATTTTTGCAAAAAGCTGTCACCACTTCTTACTCCCGCTAATGCTTCAGAGGCATAGGTGAGTTAGAACTTGGTTAGTAGCTCAGTTGAAGCAGAAGCCAAAACAGGCTACAAGATCTACCAAATCAAAGACAATGGGGTTGCAAAGACATAAAGAATCTTAAAATTATTAGAGACAATACAGCCAAAGAGATCACTGCTTAAAATCTTCAGATCAAAGGTTCAAGGGATCATGTTTTAAACAGTGTCACATTCTTTTGTACTACTACAGCACCTAGGAGTCCAGAACCCCTCCTGCTAGGGTATATGAAGAAAGAACAAAAACTGTCCCCAAAGACCTCATAAGGACAAAGACAAGAGCTAAATATGGAAGTGTTTGGGAAAGGAACAAGAATCACACATTTCAAATGCACGCCAAGCATCTTCTCCTCCCAGACCATCACTTTGCAAAAAAAGTTACTGTACTGTAGATAGCACTTTCTTAAAAACTCGTTTTGTCTTATAAATTGGGACCGCTGCTAAGCAAGTTGTTTCTCCATGGAATAACAGGCACTAGGTTCTGCAAACATCTGCACACAGAACTCCCACTGTCTTCCACTGGGCACCGGTACATGAAAGAGTAGCTCCACCAGGCAACACGCTATTTTTCCTAAGATTTTTTTTCTTTAATTAGACAAATTCTTCCCTTTCATGTGACCCATGCAGCTCCATTAAAGGCAGTGGCTGCCTTCTCCTCATTCCCCATGTATGTTATCTGTACCAGTGAGGGGCTAGAGATGAACAAGCAATCTTTTATGAACCTACTCGTTATTTAAAGAATGTTTGAGAGCAGTGGCATTCAGCAATTTAGGTTAGATATTAGGAAAAAAACTCTCCCCCTAGGAGGGTAAGAAAGCACTGGAATGGGCTACCCAGAACGGTTGTGGAATCTCCATCCTTGGAGGTTTTTAAGACTTGACTAGACAGACCCTTGGCTGAGATGACATAGCTGGGGATGGTCCTACTTTGGGGTTGGACTAGATGACCTTCTGAGGTCCTTTCCAAACCTAATTTTCTATGATTCAACCCTTTTAGCCTCCAGGCTCCTCTCAATAACTTTTCTGAATTCAACATCAACCTAGTTGAGAATTACTGAGCTACAATCTAAATTCAGAACAGCTCTGGAAGGGGGACCTTGAAAACTGAGAACTACTGATCCAGCTGGTGCCAGGTGAGGGCAGTCAAAGCAGGACTTCACCCTGCCAATCCCAAAATTTGCCATCTCCTTCTTCCCTGGTTTGACACTGATAGGGTAAAGCGTGGCCCCCACCACTGGGGCTGCCCCTCCAGGATCTTGCACAGAGTGACTGCAGCCCGCAGCCCCTGCTGATGGTTACAAGAAATAATGGCCATAAGCTAGCAGAGAGCAGATTTAGACTGGACATCAGGAAGAACTTCTTCACAGTTACAGTGGCCAAAGTCTGGAATGGGCTCCCAAGGGAGGTGGTGCTTTCCCCTACCCTGGGGGTCTTCAAGAGGAGGTTGGATGGGCATCTGGCTGGGGTCATCTAAACCCAGTACTCTTTCCTGCCTATGCAGGGGGTCGGACTTGATGATCTATTGAGGTCCCTTCCAACCCTAACATCTATGAATCTATGGCTCTGAGAATTAAGGAGAACGAGCCTGGCTGAAAAGCACAAGTATGCAGCCCCCGTGTCTGCCTGCCTACAGCACAGCATGCTGCTCAGAGTCCACAGGTGGCTGAAACAAGGGCTAAGGGGTGCCAATAGCAGCCCCCCAGAGGAGCAGACACAGATGCCCTCTGTCCATAGGATGCTGGGGTAGACACAGGGCAACAGGGAGCGCTTACCTCCATGCAAAGAGGCCAGGCGCTGTGGCACTCTTAGAAAGTATCTTATAGCACCCCAGGGTACAAAGGGAACCCTCTGATCAGGACAAAAATCACTTTAGAGAAATTCTGCATTTACTTACCCCCAGCCACAAACACACTTTATCTGTAGGCGGAACTGAAGCTTTGCAATAGAGGTTATCTGCCAATAAAAACCTGGTCTCCATCGGGTTTGTGGACTCCTGAAGAGGGATCACAGAAATGTGTTGCATTTTCATTGCAATTGGTTAAGATAGCAATATAAAATCTATAGTAGGGAGTGCACTATTCTTATTTTTTTTGATGGTCACAGTATAATATTAAAGCTATAATGAACTATTGTGAAGTTTTACCTCAAAATAGATGTTTCAAGGGTCACTTCACATTTTAAGAAGGTTTACTCATATGCAAAATGGCTATAGCTATAAAGACTAGCTTTAGCCCATGAATTCCAAGCTTAGCTACAAGTTATATGCTATTGAAAGTAAAGTTAAATGCATACGTATATATATTTTTACTAGCTTTCACAAAGTACTACATATGCCTTAAGAATAATTATGTTACTTTACAGAAGCAAATTAATCATGCTCCCCAAAACATTGCAGCATGCTCTGTTTGGGTAGAAAAGCAATCAGGCTTTAGTCATTCACACCCATTAGACATTCGAAACAATTTACCTTTTTCTTCTGCATGTGTTTTAAAATTTCTAACGTCTGTTTGATTTCAGGAATCTGACTTTTTAGCCTGTGAATTAACAAAAACAGTCATATTTACTATTTCCTACACACACACCCCACACAGAGTTTTCCAAACAAGTAATAATTTTACTATAGGATCTAACCTCCATCTGAGAAGCTCAAATTCTAAGAGCCTTCTTAGACTTACAAAAAAGAAAATGTTATGCAAGTTGTGACAAGTTACCTAAAGATATTTTGTCTACGTTTTACTTCCTTCCGGTCCCAGAGCTCATTATTGAGTCCATGAAAAATGGGCCCAAAACACACAGGCTTCAAAGTGCTGTACACCAAACATTTATCATTAATATCTGGTTTAACAAATAGAAGGCCATCTGCCTGCTCTCCTGGCTGGAAGAAGAACGCCCAAATTACTCGGCAGATATACAGATTTCTTTTCCCTTAAACAAAATTAGATTTTAAAGCATTAAGTCAATAAAGTGAGCTCTTAGCATGTCCAGACAGATGATTCAGACCTACAGAACTCTTCTAGTCATTCTAACAAGAAGCATAATTAACATTAGACATTTTACACAAGCAATCCACTTCTGAATAGACAAACGATTCAACAAACGCACTTGACTTTGGTGGCTGGGGGTCACAGAAAGTTAGGGTTGGAAGGGACTGCAGGAGGTCATTTAGTTCAACCCCCTGCTCAAAGCAGGACCAGCCACAACTAGATCATTCCAGCTAGGGCTGTGGAGCCAGGCCTTATAACCCCTCCAAGGGTGGAGATTCCACCACCTCTCTAGGTCACCTGTTCCAGTGCTGCACACCCTCCTAGAGAGAAAGTTTTTCCTAATATCTAATCTAAATCTCCCTTGCTGCAACTTAAGACCATTGCTCCTTGTTCTGCCATCACTGAGAAGTCTTGCTCCATCCTGTTTTAAATACCTAAAGGGAGATTCCAAAGCTGATATCAAATCTTCCCCAGAGCCTTCTCTTCTTCATGGCAGGTCTCAACTCTAACCAATGCAAAGAATTGTCAAGCACAATCATCTGACGTTGTATTAGAGCTGACCGGAAGTTTTCTGAAGGAATAGTTTTTTCCCTAAATGTGCCAATTCATTGGAACCAAACTGTTACAGGGACACACGGCAGCTTCAAATCAATGAGATGTCTGGTAAGTTGTTTTCTAGCTCAGGGGTTTCCAACCTTTTCCTTCCAGAGGTCCCCTACAGTATGCTATAAAAACCCCATGGCCCACCTGTGCCACAACAAGTTTTTTCTGCATATACAGTAGATTAAAAGCTGTATTAAATTGATAGTTACAGTTAAACACATGCATGTAGTGCATAATACAAAAAGAAAAAGGTGCAAAAAATATAGGGACAAAAAATGACAATTGGCATAAAATAAGTTACAATTATTATAACTGACATTAAATAAATCATCATTTATAACAGGCTTCTAACACGCTATATCACACCCAATAACACATGCAGACACGTGTTTCACACACGTGCACAGGTTTTATGCCCCCCCAATCACCCTGGTCACAAACGTGCATGCACAATCATCCCTAGCAACGCACAGATTGCACACACACCACATGCATGCAGTCACACCGACACAGACACACACATGCACACCTGCTGACACACGCAGAGGTTTCAGTGATGCAGATCTGAGAGAGGTGGCTTGCCTTCCAACCACTGTTGTTTTCCAGGCAAGAGGCCAGTCCCAGGCACGTGCGCGTGCTCACACACACACACCTGCCACTGACTGCAGGGAGAACTGCCCAAAGGGCCCAGAACATAGGTCACTTCCTTGCCATGGCTGAAGTGGGTGGGAGCAGCCTGCAGGGTGGAGAGTCCCCGAGATATAGCAGTCCCCTCCACTGACGCTGAGCCCAGCCCAGAGAGGGGGGATCCACCCATCCCACAAAGGGCAGCAGCTCATCACCTCCACCAGGAAAGCACCATTCCTTCCACCCTACCTGCCTGTGGGCCCCAGAGCACTGCAGCAGGGGGGAGGGCACCGGCCCCTTCCTTGCCAGCTCCCCTGCGCCACCGAGGCCACTGGGTATGCTCTCTAGTTTATTTTGGCAGACACCCCGAATCCTGCTCATGGACCTCCAGGGGGCCACAGGCCCCCAGTTGAGAACTGCTGATCTAGCTCACCCATCTGAACCTCCCCAGCAGCCACCAAGCAACACTGGAGCACCCCCAAGCTCACTCTCTCTTTGGCAACACACCAGTCAGGCTAGTTCTCAGGCAGTCACAGTTTTATTTGGTTTAAAAAAGAAACACTTCACCTTTTCCTAAAAAAATAATATTTCACTTTTCCCTAACCCTGGGAATTTGCATTTTGCTTGTCCTAATTTGGGACTGAAGAAAAAAAAAAAAAAAAAAAGAAAAAAAGTTTCCAAAGACACAGCATCACTCAGATTTGGAAATCCATTTCCTGACTACCTCTAGTGTAAATGTAACAGGATTCGATTCCAGTTTTGTTGAAAGAGCCCAAATAGCTTTTAAAAACTACTACTAGGTAGCTGGTAAAACTTCTCTGAAAGATGCCAAGTGCTTACTTTGGGTCGAGTTCCTCTTTTGGATATGACTGCTCCCATTTATTCAGATTATGAGAGGAAGTTAGGAAAAAAAATTATCAAGAGAATATTAGGCAAGCACTGGAAGATTTCTGATCGAGATCAGATGTGTTTCTAAGAGATATAATCTTACTAAACCAGAAGTTCTGAGTTGACGTAGAAATGATCTGGTTATGTCAGACATCAAGTCTGCGTTATGCCAGAAGTCAAGCTAACTTTTAATAGTCTCTTCTGGCCTTCAAATTTACAAATTTATAACCTGGGACTTATTAATGTTGTTATTCAGTCTTTGAGAAAAAAAGGGGAAGAGAAAAGCTGCACCTTTCCAAGCATGCTTCATGATTGGCTTTGCTAATGCTTCTTATCGTTCCTTAGAACATTAAAAAAACCCCCAAAAGACCAAGCTCATTATGTTCAGAAATATAAATACTTAACAGTTTCCAAACCCAGAAAAAGTTGTTACTCACCTCCTTTTCTTTTGAGCAAGATTAAGTTCCATAAATTTATATTTCTGGTACTGTTCATCCAGCTTCTTAAGAACTATATCTGCCGTCTCATTTCCAGGCTGTTTCATAAAAGAATCTACATCTTCCTTTACAAAAGAAATAAATAAATCAAGTGTTATACAGGCTGCAAGTACCATTACTACTAATAATGAAATACTGTATAGTAGATTTCAGACCAAGGACAATTTAGGTAGATGAAACAACTGGACTAAAGTGCAATGGTTTTGAACCTTCAATAGCTGTTTACCCATCATATTTTGCAGACTACCCACCTTTTCATACACAGAGTCTAGATCAGGGGTGGGCTAAATGCTGCCCACCAGGCCATTCTATCCGGCCCACAGGGCCCCCCCAAAATTTAGAAAATTAATATTCATTTGCCCTGAGCTGCCTATCATGTGGCCTTTGATGGCGTGCCAAAACTCAGTAAGTGGCCCTCTGCCCAAAATAATTGCCCGCCCCTGGTCTAGATCATGTACCACAGGCACAGAGTATAGTTCACAACTATATTTGTTGGCTCGTTGGTATTTGTTGTTTTTGTCACGGGCAATATGAAACTGCGAGAGCCACTTCCCCACACAAGCGGGAGAACCTTGATACCTCATTTAATAAGAGATACTCCAATAAGAGGAAAAAGTGAGATGGCAAGAAGTGTTTCAAGTGACATTATTCAGGATAGGAAAAGCTAAAGAAGGGTGGGGAACAGGAGCCCACTCTGACTCTAAATACAGTAAAACACGGGGAAGAACTTAACTATTTACATAAGGTTTTGGTTTCTAAACAAACTACAATTACTCAGTAAAAGATCCAGGGTCATCTCAGACAGCTCAGCGACAAATTCTATTCCCT